CCACTGCGGGAGGGGGGGGGAGACATTTGTGACTCCCCTCCAGCAACAGGCTGGAATGCTTCTTCCCATCCTCCTAAGTGAAACCCAAAGACCTCCAGCCGGAAGGATGAGCTCAGATCCAGGCTCAGCCGCTGGACACAGCGACCTCGAACGGAGAGGTGTGCTTGGAGAAGAATGCACTTTGTGTGTCCGGGGGCAGCTCTCTTCAGGGCAGGCTTGAACTCCACAGCAGAGGCAAGAGACAAGCGCTCTCTCAGTCCATCCTATCCCTTAAGCAATGCCTGTGGTTCTGGAACCCTGCATGCCCCAGGATGTTCCTGTTTTCTCCAGAACAGTCAGTTACAGCGCCAAGTGTTCCAAAATAGTTTTATTTTTAACACCTTTTAAAAAAAATATGCGAACAGACAACACAAAATCAATCAGTTCAGGGACTCTTTCAACAACAACAACAGCAGCAGCAGTGTGATGCCAGCATCCCTGCACGTCTATCAGCACGACGCCCTCCTCTTGGCATCAGACGCCCACTCCTGGGCGCTGCGTGGCTCTTCCTTGCCCAGAGGGCAAGGGGCCCAGAGGCTGCTGGTTTCAGGGCAGAGAGGAGTCGCTCCCAGCCCCACATAGGCCCCTCAAACACCCCCCCCAGCTGGCAAGAGGGGAGAGACAGGGCTGTACTGCTGTGGGTGTGCTATGTTGTGTCGTTGTCGTTTTGTAATCTCCCTGAGAATTCAGAGGAGGCCACAGCTGAAACGGGGCTGGACAGGTGGACTGGGATGGTGCTGAAGGCTGGTGGCCGGGTGAATTGCTAACTAGTTTGTTCTGTGGTTTGGAAAAGGGCCAACTTGCTTGCCTGAGCCCCCCGGTGACTTCCTCGCTGGTCTTCCTTTCACTCCAGCGTGGTGCCTCTTGTTTGCTCTTGGTTCCCGCTTATGGCACACTGCAACTGGAACCATGTGTGGTCAACTAGAAAAGGTTTCGGTGCGAAGAGTTCCGCAGTTGTGCACGTGGCTAGTTTAAACCTCCAAGTCTTTCCCAGTTTCGTAGTTTGAGCAACTTCTTATTGCATCAGAGAGGAATACGGAAGTGAACGGATAACTTGTACAAAGTCTAATTTAAGTAGGTGCTCTAGGTTCATTCAAGAAACAAACAGTTGCAAACAGGCAAAAGAGACTGCATAGATTAGGTTGCTGGCAGAAGGTGCACACAGACATACAGAACATACTGCGGCTTTTCTTTTTTCTCCTACAGACTGGGCCCATTTTCCACTCTCCTTCACAACTCATTGGACAGATTATATTCACCAGCAGTTCCATGCTAATGCCATCCATCTTGCCTCTCCCTCCAAAATTCAGGAGAACTGTCTTTCTTCCTTTGTTATTTCTTCCAAGTGCCAGTTATACATTAAAGCCATTAAACTTTCAATTCTTTCCTTATTTTAACCAATAGAGAATTTATTGAAATGCTGCAAAATTGCTCTAGGAAAAGGGGTTCATGACAGCACACGGACTAGCCAGTCAGAACTGTGCACAAGCGGCTGTTACTGTGCAAATGAGCAGAACTGATTTTCCCTGAGCTTGATCCTGCAGAGGATTAGGTCTTATGATGTGCAGAGTGTCAGGAATGAATGAACGAATGAATGTGGTGAGTTTGCTTCCAGAATGCAGTAGTTGCTGGTTCTATGTATGTCTGTATGCACCCTTAGGTTTGTTTTGTCATATATGAATGATGTGGTTTCCTCATGGTCGTCATTAAATCAAGTGAGCTCCCATGGACATTGTGAGCGAAAGCGCTGACCCAAGAAGGCAAAACTTGGGAGGCATGTTGCAAATTCCCCTGCTGTTCTGGGCCAAAGTTCAGATGCTGGTGTTGAGCTGGTTTCATGAATGGGATGTTTCTAATTTGCAATATAAATCAGCGGCAATGGACTCAGCAAGGAAGAGTAGAGTGGATTAAGGGCCCAGTTAACAGACAGCTGGTTATCTCTTTGGACTGCCTGAGTTTCCGAAGTGCTTGGAGTCAAGGTTAGGTTTTCAAGGCAACTGGTGGGACGTTTCTTGAAGTAAGAAACACTTTGGCAAAGAAGAGAAAGGCCAGACCTCCCCCTTCCTTTCAGTGGAGCCCTTGTGCTTCTTATCCTCATGCAGGAAGTTGTATGCAAAAACATCCCAGCATTTCCAGCTGGTGCAGTCAGCCGGATCCTGCCGCATCCAGCCCAGGGGACCTCCATCACACAGACCCCTAGACCTTGCAGTCTAGCAGAGGAACTCCCGGCTGCTCCGGCACAGAGTTGCCTCGGAGTGCTGAGCAGACCGCTCTGATGGGGCTGGTTGGTATTAGAAGCTGAAATCCTCCGGAGGGGGGCTGAGGCAGGAAGTCTCAGAGCCGAGGGAAAGCGTGGGCTTGTAGCAGTCGGGGCACCTGGTTCAACCAAAGAGGAATGAACTGCCTGGGGGGACACATCTTAGAAGACAAAAGTGAACAGAAGGAAGAAGAAGAAGAGGGTAGAGGTCACCGTGAGCCGTCCCGACAGGCTGTGGGGGGCACCAGAGTGGCAGTGGTCTTTGTTTTCACCGATGCAGGCTGCGTATGCCATCACATGGGGTATGTAGTTCTGCTCGTGGACGCCATGAAGCAGGTGGGCCATGGGGCCCTTGGCAAAGACAGCCACGTCTTCGCCCCCGTGAGTTTCCTGCCGCAAGGGGACAGCGGACTGTGCCTGGTAGTTGGCATGGGCTGCACGGAAAGAGAGAGAGGGAGAGGGGAACAAAGTGAGTGGAGCCCACCCACCGCATGGCAGGAGCCCCCGTCCCACCTGTGATGGTGCCCATCCCACTTACTCTCAGCATGGAAATGGGTGGCCAGCAGGCCGTTGCAGCAGCCACTCACTCTCTGGCTCCAGTAGGGCTGCCAGCCTCTGGCTGGGGGCTGGAGATCTCCCAGGATGACCACTGAACTCCAGACAGCAGATACCAGCCCCCCCTCCCCGGGAAAACGGCTGCATTCTACCCCGCTGCCCTCTCCAAACCCCGCCCTCCCTGGGCTCCACCCCCCAGATCCAGGTATGACTCAGGCGGGATTTGTGCCTGCAGTCCAAGTGATGCACCTGCCTTTTGATGACCTCCCTGCCTCTCCCACAAAGCTGACAGAGGAAGCCAAGTAGCTGTCATGGGCCAATGACAGGCAAATTCCGACAAGGGCACGAGGGCCATCCCAAGCTCACTGAAAGTGCTAGTAGAAAAGGGCGTGAGTGGTGTGCAGAGCAGCTGCATTTCCCGCTTGATGAGAATCTGGCAGCAATTAATTGAGAACCCGGGCAATGCAAGGCAGCTTCAAAGACCCCTGATGCCCCCCTCCCCTCCCCTCCCCTCCACCTCCTGCTGCTCACTGCCCCTCCCTCGGCCCTGGCAAGAGCTGTTGGGCAGGGTCTGACTCCTGCCAGGGTAACAACAGCATGAAGCGGTCGGATACCAAATGAGACCCTTGGTCTGCCTCTGTCCAGGCTGCTGCTGATTGCCCCTGGGCCCTTCTGCATGCTTTCTGCACCAGGGTTGTCAACTCTGGCTTGGGGAATTTCTGGAGATTTGGGGGTCATGCCTAAAGAGAGCGGGATTTGGAAAGGAGTACAGTGGGGGGTATAATATCTCCCCCCCCGCACCTTGTAGTAACTTAGCTCCTTACTCCTGTTCATTTAGCCAAGTGATATCAGAGCTAAAAGCCACATGGCCAGCCTTGAACCAATGACTCAAGGGTGGCATCCAGCCTTTATGCCAGTGCCCACCTCTGGCCAAAAGCCTTTTGGGCCAAGGGAAACCTCTTCGCATCAATAGGCCACGACAAGTCAGATGGTGCTTCCTCACCCTGACATGCTTGCAGCTGTGTTAGAGTTGTGTTGTGAAGGCAGTACAACACACACACATATATGTATATAAGCTTAATTAGAGTTGCCAACATTCAGATGGGAGCTGGAAATCTCCCAGGATTACAAATTATCTCCAGAAGACAGAAATCATTTCCTCTGGAACGGCTTTGGAGGGAGGACTCTATGGGATTATACCCTGCCGAGCCCTTCCCAGGATCCACCCTCAAATCTCCAGGTATTTCCCAAGCAGGAGTTGGCAACCTTTGTCAAGGAATTGGACCCCTGGCTCAATTCTTTGTTCTTTAATTAAACATTACTCAGGCTTAAAATCAAACCTCTAGGCCTGCACTATGGGTTGAAGAGATCAAAAGGGAACCACCTGGCTGTTGACCTGAGAAAGTTGGCCTTTGAATCACAGAGACAAAAGGAGCCACACCATTTGTTCATCGGAAGGTTTGTGGCACTACTGCACACCTCACTCTCTCTTTTTGATGCTTTGATTTACACAGCAGAAGGGAAGCAATCCCGTCACAAACCGTTTCTCTTCTGAGCCATTTGTTGTCACTGGTCCATGTAAAGATACCTTGGGTAGTCTGAGTTCTGGATTGGCTAAAGGGCCCCAGCCTGTCCAGATCTTAGGCTTTGAGAAGTTTAGCATTTCTATTCTTTGTGGGTAGCTGCAGTTAGGGCTACCAGCTTCAGCTATCTGGAGGCAATGGTATAACCTTGCCACAGGTCAGGCACCTGCCTGGCACACACACACACACACACAAAAGATCCTCTCTGGACCAAGAGACTTGAAACACTGACTTATGTCAACCAAGAAGGATACACTTTGACTTAATGTCTTACTGTGCAGTTAGGACCATAAATGGGAACTTATTTGTTTTCTTTCTTACTGCTGTGTTCCTTTGAAATATTCCTGCACTCTTTAATAAAAAGTATTGACTATACCTGGTTGTTCTGTACTTCAGATACTTCAATCTAATTCCAGTACCTTAAAGTGTCCACCTACTGGTTAATCTTTAGTGGAAACTCATTCTGCAAGTGGTCAGCCTTGCAGGACTGACTTCCTTGTTTATTCCCGGGAAGATCAGAAGTCTCCCCTTTGGCTTCTAATCGCTGGGATACTTTAAAGGGCTGGTGGCAGGCTACCCTACTGGGGTGTGTGTGTGTGTGTGTGGATTCACACTCCAGGTTTGCTTTGTAATTTTGAGTTCTCCCCCCCCCCCACTCCGAATACCATGGATCCCCTGGCCTGGGAAGTCTTGACCACCTTAGGCTCCAGATTGAAATAGCAGCATCACAATTCCACATGAAGTGACATGAGGCCACACACAGGGATAGCCCCTGCTGGCCTGGAACTCACCAAAGTCCACCCAGGACACATTCTCTCTCTCTCCAGCGACTACTTTGTATCCAGGCCCGTTTCCATAGAGGATGGAGGTGAATGGCTTCTTGTCAATGTCGCTCTGCTTTGGGGCCAGTCCTAGGCCGAGGAAAGAGCACACGCACACCTGGTCAAGGCCTCACAGAGCCAACACACACACACACACAAGCAGTGTTTCTCACAGTGGTTGTAACACCACACACCTCGGAGTCATTGGGACATCAGCAGCATCCTCTGGGAGTTAAATAGACAAAATCGGGACTCGGAGAACCAACACGAAAGAAGGAAACTGAAAGAAGGAGACAGGATCCAGGGCAGGGAACAGGCAAGCAGAAGGGAGTTGATAATTAAGAGGAGAAATAATGGGAGCCAACAGGTTCTGGGGTGCAGAGCTAAGAACGCAGCACAGCCGAGAAGCTCCCAATGAGCTCTTTCTTATCCAGCCTGCCTGACGGCTCCTCCCACTTCCTTTTTCAGGGGATCCGAGAGGCGGGAGATGCCCACAAGACTGCTGATCAAAAGGGGGCCTCTCTGTTTCCACAGAGGTTCTTACGAAACTGAGCACCAAAAGAAGTTACCAGTTTCCAAACAGCCTTCTATAGACGCAGCGTATAACCTCCAAGTCATCCAGGTGGGTCAAACATACCAAAAATTGGATTGCCACGGGGTGTGTAGCCCCCAAAAGTGAAAACATGGGAATGGTCAGCAGTGACGACAGTCAGGGTTTCCTGTGAAGAGGTCATGACATCAGCCATGCCAATGGCCCGGTCCATCTCCACTGCTTCGTGCAACGCCTGCTTGGCTTTCCCTTCGTGGTGACCATGGTCAATCCTGCCCCCTGCAAAAGGAAGAGCAGAAGCCATTCCAGAGACTCAATAATAGGTAACGCCAGTCCTTTATTAAGCTGTGCTTCCACTTGCACCTTTCTGGACAGGGCCACTTGCCGAGAGCGCCACGGCCCTCTCCAGAGCCTCCTCCAGAGGCAGCAGCTGGCCGGCCTCAGGACCGCAGAGAGGTGGTGACGCCCACTCCCCTCTGATTCTCTGGGCCTTCTGCCTGCACACTCTCCTCCCCCATCTCTCACCTTCCACCAGCAGGAAGAAACCTCGGGGGTTCTTTCGGAGGATTTTGAGGGCCACCTTCAGCATTTCTGTCAGGGAAGGATCCGTTTCATTGTCCCTGTTCAGTTCATACATCAGATCAATTGGCTCAAACAGGCCTATGGAGGAAAACCAGACAGGAAACCTACGGGTGAGTTTGCCATTCATGGCCCCATTCAAGCCCCTCATTCCACTTCCCGATTTTAGGGGGCTGTTTTTTGGTGTGTCCTGGCACTTCCACATAGCACCCGACGGTCAGACCCTGAGTTGTGAGTCGTCCCATCCTGGTCCCCCATGATTTCCCTGTCTCTCACTCAGCTCCAGGTTCAGGATAGGCCTGTAGCTGGCGTCTCTAGTCAGGGGGAACAGGACAGTGAATCACAAAGGCCCAGAGAGAGGGACAGAGTTTCTCCTCCTCCGAAAGGAATCATCGGTCCTGCACAGGGTGTGACTATAGCAAAACTGACAACATTAGAAGGGGACAGTTACTGTGGCCTTTTCCAGGATCAAATGAGGGAAGAGCAGAGGAGTCCCTTTCAGGACAGGACCAGATCAGACCCACACAGATAGGGATGGATGGAAATCGTCTGCCATTAAGCTAAGGAGCCAGCTTAATCTGGTTCTGTTAGCCTTCTATGTTATTTTCAGCCTCTTTTGCATTGTTCTGTATGTCTGAAATCATTCCGTTTTTTAATTCCTCCACTTCAAGTAAATGCATATACCTTCCCTTCTTACTCTGTTTTGCCAAAATTAGGTTAAAACTGATTAAGAGAGCCCACATCGTCCCCAGACAGCTTGGGTGTCTGTCAACGTGGCTGGGCGCGCAAGTGAGCCAGTCTGCATGTCAGACTCTGCCCAAATCTCAAAGTGATGGGTGGCAACTGCTACCCTACGAGTGTGCCCCTAGGGCTGCCAAACATCTGCGGGCAAGCCCCAGAAGCTTTATATGGTGGGGAAGGGTGATGTTGTGGCGCACTATGCCATGACATCATTTCCAGGTACTCTCTAGGAATTTCCCTAATATCCATGGTTTTTACCATAGTGATTTGGGGAATTCCTAGAGTGTCAGTATGACCCTATGATGTCACTTCCAGGCATGTAACTGGAAGTGATGTTGTGGCATTGCCTCAGTGCTGTTTTCCCCCTTCATTTTGCTCCTGCGACTCCACCAAGCTGCAGCGAGAGCCTGGGGGTGGGAGGTCTACCGCTATAGCAAGGACACCTGGCTGCCCTAGTGTGGGCTATTGTTTTGGGGACATAAAGCTTCAGGAAGGCTGGGGAAGCAGGGTTCTCCATCTTTGGTTTCCCCTGCCTTTCTCCTTGGACTACTGTAATACCCAGAATCCACGAGGACTGGGCAATAATGCACTACCCGACAGCTCCGTATTTGTTCTCTCTCTCTCACTCTCTCTGCCTTTTGCAGAACTCATACTGTTCTTTTCAGTCACCTGGAATACCTTATCTCTACTTCAGCCATTCTCTGACCCTTCTTTCCAGGGGTTGTTTAGTGACAAGTATTCACATTCTGATTCCTCTCCAAGCACAAAATCTTCCTGACGCCAAAGCAGAGAAGAAGGTCAAACAGGCTCAGAAGAACCCCCAGGAAATCACCGGGCGTACCAGTGGGATTTCCAAAAGAGTCTAAGAAAGCTAAAGGTCTCGTTACCCCCTAAAATACAGAAACGTACTACAAACTTCCGAAACTCGGGACCTCTACCTCTGTCTGGAGACTCACCCAGTAAATAGTCGACTTTGTTCGGGTCAAGGTTCATCAGCTCCGTCCGGTTCCACACATAATAGGCGTTCTGCAGGAAAGGGGACGACGTCTCAACAGAGTGGAGGAAACGAAAGGCCCTGCATGTTTGTCAGTTGCCTCAGTAACCACATGCCCCGAACATACAGACACAATTTATTACATATGTCAGAGGTTATTCTAGTTTAACCTCAGACATTTCCTGTGGTTTGTGTCCCTGCAGGTTGCCATAACCGATGGAAGCTGAGAGAAGTTTCCACCGGGTACCGAATCCTCACTTTGGCCCTTCCCTCTGTCCTGATTCGGGGGCCATTCCAGGGGGAGCCGCATATTTCAGAACGGCCTTTCCTATGAACACTGGTCAATCAAGAGGGGGATTAACTGTCCTGTGGCAAATCCTGGACAGAAGGTGGATGATCTAACAATTCAGGATGCTTGTGACAGGCGTTGTGACAGCTGTTCCAACAGACGAGTCTACACTGGGAGTGAATGAAGGCCAGATCTGTCAAGGTTCCCTGGGATTCTCCCTGCAAGTCTGCAGTGCTAGGCCTCAGCCGGGGGGACCCGGATGCTCATACCCCTCTTAAACACTTTGTAATGATACAGGCAGCCTTTGCTGCAAAACAAGGATATTAGCAATGGTACCTTGCAGAGCTTTTTGGAGAATAAACAATGCAGAGGACTAAAATATTCTACAGCAGAAGAAGAAGAACACCAAGAGATTGGGTTTATACCCCGCCCTTCACTACCCAAGGGAGTCTCAGAGCGGCATAGTTTGGCCAGTTTGGTGTAGTGGCTAAGTGCGCGGACTCTAATCTGGGAGAACTGGGTTTGATTCCCCACTCCTCCATTTGCACCTGGCTGGATGACCTTGGGCAAGCCATGGTCCTGTCAGAGCTGTTCTGGAAAAGAGCAGTTTTTGTCAGAGCTCTCTCAGCCCTACCTTACCTCACAGGGTGTCTGTTGTGGGGAGGGGGAGGGAAAGGAGTTTGTAAACCGCTCTGAGACTCCTTTGGGTAGTGAAGGGCGGGATATAAATCCAATCTCCTCCTCCTCCTCCTCTTCTTCTTCTACAAACTCCTTTCCCTTCCCCTCCCCAGCAATTATTAATTGAGATAAGGATTAGAAAACACCTGTAGAAGGGTCCCTTCCTATTGTATCCTGGGTTATGGGTCTCCTCTGCCCCTTGTGGGAGATGGTTCAAGAAACTTATCATCATCAGAGATTTTTGGACACACTGTAAGTTCCAAAGTAGTGAACCTCTCCTTGAAACAGCTTCTACATCCAGGTGGTCTCCATAGGTTGTCTCCTACAGGGCAGTGTTCCCTCTAAGCCGAGTTAGTGTGATCTAGCTGACAGTTTTTTAGCCTCCGGCTCACACATTTTTGCCTTAGCTCAGGAAGGAGGGCTCCAGAGCAAGCTAATTTATGCAGCAGCCAGATCACTCGCTCACGGCTTTAATGTCAGCAGCTCACAAAGTAGAATTTTTGCTCACAAGCCTCCACAGCTTAGAGGGAGCATTGCTACAGGGGTGTCCAGAGCTGAGTGGGTCATTTAGTAACTCACGTAAGGCTTTTCCCCTGAAGTCAATGACAAACTGAACTGCAGAGCCAAGAGACGGCACCATCTTCAAAGAGCTTCCCAACCACCCAGGCCATCCACTGCCTTCCATTTCCATTCTCCAACCCGCGGTCAAACTCTGGTGGAAATGGAGCAGAGGGCGTCGAGAGCATTAAAATGGGCCTTTGAAAACTGAGCAGGCAGGCAGACAGGTGGTTATGGGAGCAGGAAGACAGGCCTCTGGTTGCCAGAGAGGGCGTTCCAAGCACGTGCTTGCGGGAGGGCTCTGTGACAAGCCCTGGCCAGGAGCTCTCAGGTTTGCAGGAATTTTGAGGAAATGATATGCGAGATCCAGGTTTGCTTCCAAGGAGATTTTTAACCAAAAGCATCAAACTTACAGATAAATGCAGGCTAAGCTGCCATCCGCTGGGCCCTGGACACATGCATGCACACGCACTGTGAACCTTAGTCAGAACCCGAGGACCCCGTGCATAAACGGAAACTACACATCTTATACCCTAGGTACTGGCTACAAGTAAAAAAATGATTACTCAAGCTCTCCCAAACACTTGGAGGAGCCAGACCATCTTGCACCTGGCCTCCAGTGGGGGGAAAGAGACAACTCAGGCTTTGAAGATAAGCACTGCTAACAAGCATGGGAGAGGGAGAGGCTCTCTTGGGAGCAGGTGGTCAGCCTTCTCCCACAAGACTCAAAGCGGCTGAGCACCAGCATATAGCAAAGATGGAGTCACCCAGGCCCAACACAGGCTCCACTCAGAAGAGGCTGCGTCTTCCATCAGCACAGCAGCTAAAGCACTATGGAGCAGAGAGCTCGGAGAGAGAAGAAGAAGGTTTTTGTGGATTCGTAAGCGTGCCAGCTATTCCAGCCCATAGCGGGGTGCCAAAATGAGTGTCTCATACGCCTCCCCATTCACTGGTGGATCCATTCAGGGGTTCGTATGACTTGTGACCTCATGCTGAGGCGAGCCTCCCCCCCCTCAAGAGATGCAAGGGGCTCAGCTCCCCATGGGTGCAAAAATGCCACCCAGAAGCACCAACTAACACAACAGGTGTAGTATTTCACTAGAGGAAGCAGAACAAATTTAGAGTCCAGTGGGGCACATTTGAGACCAAGAAAGGTTTATTCAAGGTAGGAGCTCTGCACACGAAAGCTCGAACCTTGAATAAACCTTTGTTGTTGTTAAAGGTGCCCCACTGGACTCTAAATTTGTTCTGCTTCCTCTAGTGAAATACTACGATCAAAATCTATTGTGAGTGAGCACCACTAGACAGAAAGGCTTCGGTTCCATGCAAGAGTTTTGTGGACACATTCCCAGCTGTTGCAGACCTATGCCTCCCCCCCCCCCGTCCTGTTCCTGTGGGTCCCTCCTTCCACAGGAGCAGCATTTTGGAGGAGGAGAGGAAGTCACGTACCGAAGACTGAAATCCCTTCCATCTGTGGAAACCTCTTGTGGATGTGAGTCAATATGATTAACATGTCTCAGAAGGAAACCTTTTCTAGCACTGATATCCCTTCCATGGAAATACCAGGAACCGGGTCTGACCATAGGCCCTGCTTATATGTGCTAAGCTTGCGGTCTACACTGACCTGCACCCCAGCAATAAGGACAGGCCGCCTTCCTCCTGGTAACTCAGTACCACACTCACCTTATCCGCAGGCTTCTTCTCCTTCCAGACGTCAATAAGGTTTCTGTTGTCCAGCCGAGTCCCCCGATACTTGTCCTCATCTGGATACTCCACATCACTGGTGTTCTTGGGAAACATGTACTTCCGTCCTCCACCCATAATCACCTGAGCAGAACAGAGAAAAAGGTCCTGAAACACCAACTGCTGGACATTACAGAAGTCCAGGTGCTGAAGACACTTAGGGACACTCGAGACAAAATGGTGTGGAACACAGCCTAATGTTCCTGCTCGCTATGGGCAGTTTTGGCTGTGATGGGAAAGGACAAGACACGACAGCATCACATACTGAGGCTACGGAACCCTTTTTGCACATGCCTGTTAGAGCAACCCCTTTTTCTTCTGTGTTTGTTGTTTCCAGAGCAAAACACTTTTTTAATTTTCTTACTGAAAATCTCCCCATCCATTCCACTTTAGTCTCAAGACTGTAATGTTTAAACATTCAGTTTCTCATGTTATGATTTCACCTTGATTCATACTCAAACAAGATGATTTCAGAAGAAAATCATCTCATGATTCATAGATTACAGCAAAGCTTTTGACTGTGTGGATCACGAAAAGCCATGGTTGGTTTCAAAAGAAATGGGTGCGCAACATCATCTGATTGTTTTGATGCACGACCCGTACTCCAGACAAGAGGCTACTTACAGTCAGGACAGAATATGGAGAAACACCAATGGTTTCCAATTGGTAAAGTGGTCAGACAAGAACGTGTTTTATTTCCCTATTTGTTCAATCTACATGCAGAACATAAGGAAAGGTGGAGGTGGAGTGAAAATTGGTGGAACACAAACCACTTTAGATACGCACATGATGCCACATTGCTGGCAGAAAATAGCGAGGACTTGAAATGACTGCTGATGAAGGTTAAAGCAGAAAGTACCAAAACAGGATTGCAAGTTGAACATCAAGAAAACAAAAGCAATGACTACTGAGGAATTATACAAATTTAGGGTTGACAGTGAAGAAAGTGAAATTGTTAAAGATTTCCTATTCCTTGGCTCAGTCGGTAACCAAAAGGGAGACGGCAACCGAGAGATCAGAAGGAGACGGAGCCTGGGGAGGGCAGCCATGAAGGAGCTAAAAAAGATCCTGAAGTGCTGGAGACCAAGGTCAAGTTAATTCATGCCAGAGTATCACCCATTATTCATTTTATACTTTCAATTTGTACCCCGCTCACCCCCGAAGGGCTCTGAGCGGCTTACACGGTGCATGGTGCAGAGACCTATGCAGAAACCCTAACTATGGCCACAGTACGTCTGTATGGGTGCAAAAGCTGGATGGTGAAGAAAGCTGGCAGGAAGAAAGTCGATTCCTTTGAAATGTGGTGTTGGAGGAGAGTTTTCTGGATACCATGTGGACCCCCAAAAGACAACTCAGTGGTTTCTAGATCAAATCAAGCCTGAACTCTCCCTAGAAGCTAAGACGGCTAAACTGAGGCTATTGTACTTTGGTCACATCATGAGAAGACAAAGAGTCACTGGAAAGGACAACAACGCTAGACAAAGTTGATCCTGCTGTGTGTGGGGGAGGGGGAGGGCTAAAAGTCCAACAAAAGGAAGGAAGGAAGGAAGGAAGGAAGGAAGGAAGGAAGGAAGGAAGGAAGGAAGGAAGGAAGGAAGGAGAAGAGGAAGACCCAACAGGGGATGGATGGACATCAAGAAAACCACAAAGGCCCTCAGTCTGAAAGACTGAAGCAAGGCTGCTAACTAGAGGCCATTTTGGGAAGTTAATTAATTCCACAGGTCGCCAAAGTTGGAAGCAACTTGACGGCGCTTAACAGACACCCACACCCACACAAAACATGTCTGATGTGGTATTTTTGTTCCTTTTAGCACTGTCTGATCACAACTCTCTCTGATGCTGTCAGTCATGAAGAATGATTGCTTAGAACTAGTAATACCTGAAAACATGTTGGTGGGATGTGCAGGCTCCACAAGCAAGTACCACGAAGCAGGTGTAAAGTAGTTGTTAGAAACACACCTCTTTAGACCACTTCACTTACACACACACACACAGGTCCCTGAGGACACCAATTTAACAACCAGCAGAAGCCTTTTCTGTACAGGCAGACGTAACAGATGGGCCTCAAATGGACCATTTGGAGACCCGTCACCTCACTGGCACTTCAACAAAGAGCTGCGGAGCACATCTCCGCCGGGAAGCTTTGTCTCGCAACCTGCTCCTATAACGTGACTCTGGGGCCATATTCCGTTCCTGAGTCTGCTCATCTCACTGCAGTGACTTCCTCATGTCAGCTCTTAGGCTGCACTCTCCTCAGAGGAGGGATTACATCTATCTATATGAGATATAAATCTATAAAAAGTAATTGATACTGTAATAAGATTTTGGGAAACATTTTCTCCTTTTGCATCTGCTCGCAATTCCAGGGTGCTCCCAGACTGACTCCGGCACGAACAGCTCCAATATTCCTAGTAGGGGGTGAGCTGGCCACCCCCCCCCCCCGCGCACACACACCCCTCCAAACAGAGGACTGGGGGGGGCATGGGCTGGAGGCAGATGCAGCACTGGGTATCCATAGCTGCTGTCTCCCACTGGAGGGAGAGGGAGCTCTGCAAACTAGGCCTTACAGCCCCTCTTGTGACGGCTGCGTGTCCAGCCCGGGAGGACAGGGATTCCTCTGGGCTTGCATCTAAAAGTGCATTTTATTTGCCCGCAACGACTTCTGGCTGGTGCGGCAGCCTCCTCCTTGGATTTTGTGTCTGCTTAAAAGGTGAATCATAAAAGCAGCAGCAGGAGAAAAAATAATAATTACATACCAACAAATCTCTGTGAAACAGAATTGGCTTGCCCAGCATGTAATTATTTCCAGCCCAGGAACAAAGTTAAAATTATAAAAAAATGGGCCTATTAAGCCGCTTAAATAGCAGATTCAGCCTTTTTAGCTTTGGGGCTATTTTGAAAGCAAGAGGTTTACCTATTTATTTACACCAGCGGAACAAGCGGTGCCAGAGCCCGTCAGCTGATGCTCGTGATGAAAGGGGCCCGGGCCATGGCCTCCCGTCCTCAAACCCCACGGTGGCAGGGCTGTTTGTGGCAGCTGTTTGCACTGCCGTGGCTTCTGCCGTGCCCTCCCTGGCATCACCAGCTCCTCCCATTCCAGGCACTGCTTGGAAAGCATTCCGTGTTCCTACTGGCACCCGCAGGTTGCTGGAATCCAAGGCTTCATAGAGCTCTGCCAGACCTTGGTGGTGGAATCAGAGTCGTCTCTGGGATTTGTGGCAGGCGGCTCCTAGGCCCCCCCCCCATTTCTGCCCCATCTCTGGCCCTGATCCCCTGCCCCCACTCTGGAATCTCAAATTCACTCTAATTTCTTGCTCACCCCCCCCCCCCACCCCCCCGGCCCCAGGGAACTTGGCTTTTTTTATAAAATAGGGAAAAAGTGGTCTCCTCTAATTCTAATTTACCCACAAGACTGCAGGATCTGGGGGTGCAGCCAAACTGGCGTGCGGGCACTAGAAGTCGCTCTGTCTGTCCTTATGTGTGAGAGGAACCCCTGCAGGTCTCCGTCGGTGCTTCTTGCACAAAGCAGCAGCAGTGCACACGAGGGGTCCCGGGTGGAACCACCTTCTCCTCCACCCTAGGGGGTATTTGGTTCCCTAGGCATTAGGCCAAAGTCCCTTGAGGAGTGTGTGTGGAGGGGGAATATCTGCAAATGGCACCAGATTCATGGCCAGCAGCCGTCTGAGTCAGCTTGCTGCTTGTGTGGCCACTTTCACGGCCAGAAGGAGGCCGGAGAACCTCGGCTCGGTGGCTCTTGTAGTCTGGGTAAAAACCCTCATAAGAGGTATCCATGCCGGGCCCCTCGGACCTCTTCAGGTCACCCGTGCAAAGGTTTCCTCCATGCCTGGTTTAGCATTTTGCACGCAGCTGTTCATGTAGTTGAAAGTGAAGAATCTGCTTTTCCGTTCCTAAACAACAGCATATTAAAAGCATCGTTTCTGGGGTTCTCAGCTCTGAGTTGGGAGATGCCTGGAGATTTGGGAGGCAGAGCCTGGGGGGGGGAGGGACCTTAGCAGGATATAATGCCAGAGCATCCCCCCTCCAGAGCAGCCATTTTCTCCAGGGCGAAATGAGCTCTGTCACCTGGAGAGCAGTTGTAATAGCAGGTTTCCAGGTGCCACCTGGAGAGCTGGCAACCTGAACCATCTAAGCCACCAACAGTGGCAGCACAGAACAGGTTTCCTGGGGGGACCTCTGAATGCCAAGAGGGCCGGACCGCAGCCCTGTTCCCTGGCCCTGTTCCTACTTTCAAAACGGGCCGCCTGACTCAAAAGGAAGGGCCCGTCCAAAGCACTGCTAACGTCACGGACTTCCCCAGGCAGCCGGTCTGTCGGTCGTAAAGGGGCAGCAGAGGGAGCCATTTCCTCTGCATGGTGGGCAGACAAAAGGCCTGAGCTGTACTTTTTGGAAACTGGAGCCAGCTGATGTCAGTGCCCTGCGGGCTGGTGTGTGCGTGTGTGTTCCGGTGGCCCAGATAAAAGATTAACACACACGCTTCCCCACACACACACACTGTGTTTGTCACGCTCCCCTTCATCCTGACCCTGGAACTCCTCTGCCACCCAGCCTTGTAGAGAACAGGCAAAGCCTGCCCGCGGACCACCTCGGGAACACCCGTTTCCCACAGCGGAGTCAGGACTGCCTGGCTCTGGGGCTCCTCCACTCCATGGCGGATGTGCACAACTGCTGCAGGATGAGGCCGCAGCACTCTCTTCCCATGATTCACAAAGTGTAATGGCCCGGGTCAAAAACAGCCGCGATAGGAAAGCTGAGGGATGATAAAATGGCTGCGGCAATCTGACAACAATTCCAAAGAGGAAACTGCTTGTGGAGCTGGAAGAACCCGGCCTACAGAAGAGGAAGGCCCTGGCAGGACGGCTCCCTCTGCGGTCCGGGCTAAAACTGGGTGGGCTGGCAGGGGAGCCTCACCCCCTCCTGTGGCTCTCAGAGCAGCCGGTTCTTGTAGCTTTGCCAGAGGCCACTACACCTGGGTGTCCACGAAAGAGACTTTGAAAGTGTCCTAGGAGCTGGCTCGATTTGTCCACTTAAAGCAGCAAGCCTGGAAAGGACACCTCCCCCCCCCCCTAAAAAACAACAACAACCCAACCTGTGACATATCAGGTCTAACTGCATCTGAAGAAGTGTGCCTGCATGAAAGCTTCTGCCCGGGATTAAACTTTGTTGGTCTTAAAAGTGCCTAACCGGACTCTGACTTTGTTCGATACATTCTTCCCAGTTTGGCTGACCAAACGTATTTTGGCCATTCTAGAGACCGGGAGGATCAGTCACAACCTGCAGTGGGAACCCTCCACAAATCGGAAGACCGGGTTAAAGAGCAGCATTGTTTTAAAATGTAATTTGGGTGTTGGATTCTTCGTGCTCTTCAGCGCTAAGGGCTAGAGAGCTGTCTTTGTAAAAAATAAGATCGGGGGGGCACCCAATACCTCTGTGCATCGCAGAGTTTCAGTGGGATTCAGGAGGGCAGATGGGTGACTCACAGAGGATTCACATCCAGCTCTGGAAACAGCGTAAGAGACAGGGACATAAACAATTTGTTTTGCCCAGTAAACTTGCCGCTCCCAGGACAAAACAAAATTGCAATGCAAGGCCAGACAGGGCCCGAAGCCACAGAACACCCAGGCTGGCTCAAAGAGGCCAGAGAGGCTTCTGAGGAAGGCCTTTGGGGAGGTGCTGCTTCCCTTTCACTGACCGGTCCAGGCTTGGGAGAGAGGCCCTGATCCTTAAGAGCACAGCTGGCCATTGAGGGAGTGCTTCCCATAGATAACATGTGGCTGTATCGCACGCACTCCGGTTCTGTGGAAAGGGCACATTACGGAGTCCCAGAAACAAACAAAAAAACCCTTTTTCATTCTGCTGCCACTTGCAAGCACACCTGGATCCTGGAGGGTGGAGGAGGAGATCTGATGCTTGTTCAGATCCATCTACTGGACTCTCTGGCCACCCTGCTCCTTGCTGGCAGGTCAAGGGCCAAGAGTGGCCATCCTGAGAGAAAGCCCCCCCCCTTCCGCCTCAAAGCCAGAGGCAATGAAGGCCTCTTGCTCTGAGCGATAGGATCGTTGGCCGTGACGCTCCTTTTCCTTTTTGAGGTGCCCCAAACTCAGTCCAGTGGCTCCTTTGGCATAACTTGGAAGTGCCCTCTGTAAGGTGCCTGGCTAGCAGGACACTCTGCGAGCTGCTCTCAGCTCCTTCGAGGAAGAGTGGGGGATACGCGTGATGGGCAAAGAACAAGACACCAGCCGGCGAGGTTAGTGGCGAGAGTCTTGGGCCGTGAGGCTCACCATGTGACCTTGAGCCAGCCGTGCGCTCTAGCATGACCTACATTACAATGATGTGATGAGAATAAAGTGGAAGAGGCGAGACTGTGGACCCTGAACTTCTTGGAGGAAGGGTGGTGGAACACCATAATAATATTTCATCAAGAACTCATGGTGGGCAGAAATGACAAACAGTGCTCTGATTTCCTGGAGGGAGAGTGGGATGAAAGGGTCATCAAGAACTAGAACAGGCCAAAACAGTGTGCACCTCCGCTTCACTCCTGCTAATCTTCAACATCACCCCCCTCAACTGAGGAGATATGCAAGTTCTCAGTGTTTCAGGGGGTAGCCATGTTGGTTTCCAGCAGACGATTCTAGGTTTGAATCCAGTAGCGTGTTGGAGATCAATGACATTTCCAGGGTACGCGCTTGCAAGAGTTGTAGCTGACAAACGGAACTTTGCTCCCAAAAGCTCAGACCCTGAAAATCTTCTTGGTCTCTAAGGTGCCGCTGGACCCGAATCAAGTTCCTACCGGCTGCTGAAGAAAGTTGTCCCGTCCCACACCAGGGACCGCAACTCCTGCTTGGCACAGGAAGAAGGCTCAAATCCCATGCTCATGCGGCCTTGGGAGGTGTCTTGGGTGGCAGGGCCAGAGAAGGCGCTTCTCTCCCCGAGACCCTGGAGACCTGCTGCCCTTCAGAGCAGAACACACAGGCTGTAGATGGACCCAGGAACTGACCCAGAAGAGCACAGCTTTTATATGCAAGTGCGTATGGACTCCTTCGTGCGGGCCTGAGAGCAAGCCAGCGAGCTCCTCCGACTCCCCTCTCGCTCGCTCGGCTGCCCTGGCAGCAGACCCTTACCTCAATGTCTGGGATGTTTTCAAACAGCTGGTGGGCGATGTCTTTGCAGCCCTGCTGGATGGCTTCCTGGGGCATCTCGTTATCAGAATACCAGTCCCGGTCAGCGGCATGTGCGTAGGAGGCACTCGGCGTGGCGTGGTTGACCCGTGTGGTGGTGACGATGCCCACAGATTTGCCTGAAACCGGAGAGGTGAAGGACCAGTGCAGTCAGGGGATGGGGGGCTTTGATTCCTGAGAGTCAGTGGTCAGCTCTGATGACGGGGTGGCGCCTGGAGACCTCCCGGTGTCACAGGCGATGATCACCCACGACCCGTGTTCCCTGGAGACAGTGGCTGCTGTGGAGGGTGGAGTCTATGCCACTCCACCCGAACCCTGCTCTCCCCACCCTCCACTCCCCAAAGCTCCAGATATTGGCCAATCCAGAGCTGGCAACCATTCTGGGCACAGCAGGCCCAAACCCTGCCTCGAGTGAGCAGAACAGATCTGGAGTCCAGTCGGGCACCTTTAAGACCAACAAAGGTTTATTCAAGGTATGAGGTTTCGTGTGCAGGCACACTTTTTCCAATACGATGGAATGGGAGGTAAGGTTAAAACTTATAAACGGGCTCATCTGTTGAATGAGGAGGAACATTTATGGATGGGTAGCCACAAGTCTCTCGCTTCTATGCAAAGTGACCTTTTGTATCTTGGACAACTACAGTGGGTGGGAGGTTACTCGCTCACTGCTCTGCCTTTCCAAAAGGCTCTTGACCCAGCGGGTTAAATATTGCCCTCCTCTGTAAAGTCAGCCATCTCACTGTGCCCGGGTTTGAGTGGAGGCCTCCTCCCCACCCCTCCAGCACAGATGTGTTCTATCCCTGCAGGCCCCCCCCCCCCGCTTTCCCTCCCCACACTTCCTTCCCTGCCCCTTGCTGCGCACCAGCCCAGTGGGGACGAGGAGAGTAAAACAGAGGCCTTTGTAACCAGAGCTGGGGCATGTTTTTCAAGGGGAAATCCAGGCGTTTGTTTGTATTCCTGGGTCAACTGATCCATTGAAAGAAATGGTTGTCAGGTAGGTTAGGCCTGTTCCAAGTTTGGGCACCTGGAAATGTCACACTTTGATCTGAACTGATGCAGCTCTTCCAAAGAGTGGAACCACCACAGGGACCGCTGACCGGGGGCCGGGCGGCAGCTAGAAAGGGCCGGACTCAGCCAGGGAGGGAGGGATTCCTCCGCTTCACCTCGCATCCTCAGGTTTGATGGGCTCCGGAGGGACCTGCAAGAGCAGCCCTGCACAGATGGCTCTTCAAAAAGCACCCTTTTCATGGCTTTTTCCACTGGTTTATTTGTTTTAAAATAAACAGGAAGGATCCCAGCTTTTGATTTGTGGCCACGTTTCCACAAGGATGCTAAAGCAGACAAGTTCGCAGGCCGGGGGCGATTCGTGGCTTCCCATTTTACAGCTCCCCCCCCCCTCGTGTTTTTTGATCCAAATAATCGTAAGGTAAATGTCAGCATTAAGATCGATACAAAACTGCAGACGAAGAGAGCGCCGTTTTAAATAAAAAGGAAACTTCCAACTCAGAGGGGGGAAATTATCATAAGAGATGTCTGGCTTCACAAGGATTTCCAGGAGTTCAGCAACATTTCTCATATTTCTTTTTCCTAGAGCTTTCTCCTTGCCTCAGGATGAACCATTTTCATGACCGTTGCACTTTGGGTCTCTCAGTCATTGCTCTTCCAATTTCATATCCTACTGGCCACAGACTGTCCGGAAATTTATCTTACAAGAGTCCCACTGAAACGAAGGGGAGCGAAACCAGGATGGGTCTGGGAGAGCCTGGGCCTTCCCCTCATTTCCCCCTTCTCCACAGAGACCCGGCCTCCCCCGCCAGTGTGGTGAAACAGTCAGCCTGCTGCTTGCACTCAGGAGACCCTGGACGGCATCTCGCTTGCTCGCTCGCTCTCTGGGGTGACCTTGGCCTGGTTACCAACTCTCTCACAGCAATCTTGCAAGGATAAATGAAGGAGAGGAGAAGGGTGTACATCCCCCTGATACTCCTCGGAGGGAGGCTGAACTACCAATATGAGAAATAACCAATTTTGAGAAATACATACTGCAGGGGCAGGGCAGGGCTCTGGATTGTTTACAGAGGGGAAATTATGCTCAAGGACATGTGATGGCCACGGGGCCCCATACCTCTTCACCCTCCCCCCCCCCAAAACCCACCCACCCAGCCCCAGTTCTCCCCAGCCTTTGCCGAGAGTAACTGAGCTGCACAGCTTCTCTTGTAAGGCACTGGAAGATAGGGGCCACATCAGGATTCTGTTGCCTGGACGCACCACCTGCCCCGCCCCCAAGTCCAAGTGGGCCCGGACCCCGGGAAGGGTGGTTAAAATGTGCTGCTCCTTCTTCTTTGTGCTGCTTCCAGGTTCCTGAGATCAGTTACTAAGTGAAATTTTAAGAGGACCTTTTGCAGACAGCCTCACTGGTTAAGGGCTTCGGCTGGCTAAGCCACCGCTCGGTGGGGGGGGCCCTTCAGGGAGAATCCGTCTGGCTGGTCTCTGCCCCTGAGTGCTCAGGCCTGCCTCGGTGCCAGAAGCCCAGGTTTCTCCTGCTGGGTGAGAACAGACCACCTTTCCACTCAGGCCGTCCTACAATCCGGATCGGAGCCTGGAGAAGCTCCGCCCCTTCCCCCCCCCCCGGAGGAAAGAGGCGGCTCTGGCCAGGTGCTTGGGAGCCTGAGGAGGGGAGGCCACGGAGGGCTCCGGCACCCCCGCACGTCTGGGCCATGGTGGCCAACGGCTGAGGAGGGGCCAGGCATTCGCAGTTTGGGGGACGCCCCCATCTCCGAGCCCCCCCATGTGCCATTTCCCCTTTTACCAGCCAGCACGGAGCAAAACGCGCGTTCCTGAGGGAGGGGCTCCACCTGCCTCCGTAAGGCTCATGAAATGAGTCTCGCTGGGCCAGAAGCACCCCCCCCTCACCCCCTTTCCCTTGCTTCACCCTCTGCTTCCCCAGGGGCCGGCTGGCCGGGCCGAACTGGCAGCCTGTGCACGTGGTGCTCCCTGATACGCTGTCCCACTGGAAACGGGGCGTGCACGTAGGAGAGGGCTGCTGGAGGCCCCATTTCTCTGCCCGGTCCCCTGATCCCCTGAAACTGGCCTCCGCCACAAACTGACCTCCTGCAGTTTCCTCCCTGACAGTTTACGGTGCCCTGTCCTTCAACACATCCCAAAGAGAATCTCTGATGGTCAGATTCAGAGCCAGCCAGCCAATAAGGAAGCACCAGCAGTCCTTTGAACTGCTAATGCTTCCTGGGCCCCAGGAGGAAGAGCAGACAGACCCGTGTTATAAAAAGGAGGAGGAGGAGGGGGAACACGGAAAGCCCTTCATCGCAACTGCCCCCTCGACACACGGGAAGGAATGAGACGGCTTGCCGGATCAGGCCGCGAGGAATTCAGTGCGTGTTCTTTTCAGTCCCTGTGGCCGCCGGCCGCAGCACCCCACGCCCAGTGTCCACAACCACCTGCTTCCTTCGCCCACTTGAGGATGGAGGTCACTTCGTTGCCCGCCGTGGTGTTGCACTGGGATCTGGTCACGGCCGCGCTGACCCCCACAGTCCCCTCGTTGGCCTTAACCCCACACAGGTACGCTGTTGCAGTGCCGGCGCTATCGGGGACTTGCGCGTTGGTGTTGTATGTCTGTGGGAGAGAAGACCAAGATGTTCTCGTGCAAAGTGGCTCAGGTCAGCTCGGCCTGTGGGGCTGCTTGGGAACAGGCCGAGTGATCAAGATGGCCAACGGGCGGCCTGTGACGGACCGGCCTCTGCCCAGAATTTTCACCTGTGATGGGGCGGAACCCTCAGGAGAGATAGCAACATCCAGCCGGGTTGGATTCCTCCCCGCCCGCCCTCCCTCCCCCGGGATGGGTCCCATTGGACAGAGAACACGGCTGCTCTGGGGCTGGTCAGGGCCTGCCTGTGAGACCTCTGAGGGACCTTGTCAGAGACCCCCACCTCCACCCCCCCACCCCACGATGGGGAAAAGGCAGAAGGGAAATACGGAACGCCCCTGGCAAAGCTCCGCGTGGTGGGGCCAAAGGAGATCTCAGCTGTGGCTAGAAACATGACCCTATTTGTGAATTCTTCTCAGAGCATCTTAGACAAGGCTGTTTGCTGAGCTGGAGCAGTCGGTCCACTCAGCCCAAGGCCTGCTTGGAAGGCATCGGCTAGGAGCTGCCTCCACCTGCACAGAAGCTGGGCTGCTCATCCCTCAGGCACTTTCATCTGCGTGGGCAGCCCCAAAGCCAGAGAGGCCCGGAGAACTAAAGGGGAAGGCAGGCAGGGAGACGTCAACATGGGAAGGGCTGCCTGCGTCTTCGGTTGATCCTGACACTAGTCAACTGCTCTCAGGGACTGAGCCGAATAGGCTCTTCCCAAACTCATCATCTTTATGCATTTGTCTTATTTACAGCAGAGTCCCCTTAAAAGAGAGAGAGAGAGAGAGAGAGAGAGACAGACTCTCCAGGCAGATGCTGCTGCTGACGCTGGCTTGTCTTCCGTGTTTCCCTGTGACTGAGACAAAGGCCTTTGCCTTAGTCAGGAAAGGGGAGCGGCAGAGAGGTGCATCCCCGGGCTGACCCCTCCCTGCACCAAAACGCAGCCCCGTTTTTCCTTCCTGGAACGTACATCAATAGCTAGCATAACCACAAGACTGTTTGATAGGAAGAGAAAGAAATGAAAGCTGTCGGACAGAATGGAATTTTGTGTTTGTTGATTCCCACCCTGTGCCAACCCAGTTAAAAATGTTCCCCGGGCCAATTAAAAGTCCTTGGTCAGTGCAACAGGGCGGGCAGCGGGTGGAGACTCCTGGCAGGGGCGCAGATGGAGCTGGCCACCCCCACCTTCCCGTCTGCTGAGAATCCTGGGGTCTCCCGAAGAAGGCCCAGAGCTGCAGAAGAAATCTTCTTGCTCCCTCCGAGACAAGCTTTAGGTGTTCCTTCCCTGTGCAAAGCAGGCCGTAGATAACTCAGTGTCTCGCATTTTCACTCCACCCTCTCACCCAGGAGCAACCGGTGACGCAGGCAGCATACATCGCTCTCCCCTCCTGCATTTTATCCTCACCACTGTCCTGTGGGGTAGCTTACCCCAAGAGCGAGAGCAAGGTGGGCCTGGGACCCCCAGGTCCTAGGGGGGCACTAGCCACAACACCCCACGGGCTCCCCAAAGGATAGCCTGAACAGAACAGTTTCCGGACCAAAAGGGCTCAGTTAGACGGCACTTTGCACGCTCCCCAAGAGGGTAACCTGACATGCTGGAGGCAGATAATGCAAGGGAGAGTACCAAGAATGCGAACTGAGGAATGCTACTTTAGTCTCTTGAAATGCTGGAATGTGAGGTTCAGCATGGGAAACCCAGGCAATGATGAAACAAAGATAAATATTTGCTTTTGCTGTAACCCCCCAAGGTGGCCTGTGGAATGCCTTGCCACAGGGTGCTGCGATGGCCGGTGGCCTCGGGGATGCGTGACAAGAGAGAGGGCGGGAGGAGAGGCACGAAGAACTGGACGGAGCATCGACATTTGAGCGCCCCACCCTGGAGGGAGGCCAGCGCCCTGGGGTGACGGCTCCCCCCGCCCCACTGCCCCGCCCACGGTCACCCTGCACCCAGCTCAGTGGCTGCTGGGCGATGGCAGGAACCGGTGTCCACCCACTCGTGCCAGAGCAGAGCAGTCCCTCCTCTCCCGGTTCCCGCCGGGGCTTCGGCCACACCAAGGCTCCCTCTCAGCTGTGGAGTCTTGCGATCAGAAACTCTACTTTGTGAGCTCCTGGCATGAAAGCTGTGAGCGAGCCATGTGGCTGCTGCATAAATCGGTTTGCTCTTCTGGAGCCATCCCCTTCCTGAGCCGAGGCAAAAATGTGTGAGCCGGAGGCTAAAGAACTGTGAGCTGGCTCACACCAACTCAGCTTAGAGGGAACACTGGGCCACACCCATCCGTTTGCTCCCAGACACCCGTTCTGCTTTCAAGTCGCCCCACAGGATGCCCCCCTTGGTCATTTTTTTGGGGGGAGGGCGGTATAAGTACCCCACAGCCCCCCTCGGAAGGATGCCGGAGCTCTGCCCTGCCCAGAGAGGGGAGGGGGCCCTGTGCCTGGTTCCCGAGTGTGCTGGAGATGACAGTCTTGGCAGGCCGGTTACCCCAGAGCCACCCAGTGGGCGTCGGCCCGCCAGGTCTGAGTCAGCCCAGGGAGGGGGAGGACAAGGTGCTCCCTGGAGGAGGGAGCGGACGGAGGAGGTGCATCTGCCTTCTTCCCAGGCCGAGGACTGGAGGGAGGGGACGGAGCCTGCGGGGGTCTCCCCAGCTGGCTTCCTTGCAGGGGGGCGCTCCAAAACCGGCTCTGTGCCAGACCCGGCCAGCCTCCGGCTCCCTCGCCAAGCCCTGACCAGGGCCTGCCCCTGCTCGGGGTGAAGAAGATCACACCTCTTGCGCCCATGCAGGGGAGGGGCCTAAAAGACACAGCCGAGGGGAGGGGCCGCTGAAGGGCTGAAGACCCGCCTCCTCCTCCAAGAGAAGGCGCTCTGGCTGCAGTCCTGCCCCCTGAATCCCCCCAGCTTCCCACTTCTGATGCAGCCTTCCAGGGGGAAGGCACGCCCCCTCCAGGAGGAACAGGGCCAGGGACGTCTTGTTCTAAGACCGGTGCACAGAGTGCCCCAACGATATTTTTTTTAAGCCTACAGTGGCTGCCCTCGGGAAACGGAGGGGACTGGGATGTCCTGGCCTTTCCCACCCCCAGGGCTCTGCCCCTTGGCTTCCCCACGAGACCTTCCCCAACATACTGGAGCAAAGCCAGTTCGGGCAAGACGGGGAAGGCCGTAGACGACCGGGCAAACCGCCCGTGGGCAGGCCATCTCTGGCAGGCTTCTGCCCTGTGGGGTCATGGATACCGATGGCCCTCCTCAGCCGGCTGCCAGTGCTCTCCGCAGAAAGCCGCCCTGGGGCTGGTGGCCATGAGAAGGAGGAGGAGGCTGGAGAGCTGTCAGCTGAATCCCAGCGTCCCCTGCCGATTCACTGGCGCGTCCGTCACTGCGTAGGGGTTCACCAGCGGCCATTAGTCCCAGTGATTCAATGGAACCTCCATGCCCAGAGGCAGTATACCTCAGAGTGCCAGGGAGACAACAGGGGGGAGCTGTGCCAGACGGGCCCTCCTTGGTCTGACCGGGAACGGCTGCTAGTGGTTCTGTTTCTGGTGTGGCAGACAGAGCGTGCTGGGCTGAAATGCTGGCCTGGCTGTCCTCTGGCACACTTCCACCGCTGCAAGGAAAGCGGCCCTTCCCCAGCAGAGAGCCTGGAGACGCCTCCTTACCTTGGACAAGGCCACAAAGGGAAAGCGGTCCATTTCCAGCACGGTTTCCTCCCCCTTCCTGTGCTGCAGCTGCCCCTTCAGGATGCGCGCTGCCGTCACCGTGGCAACCCCCATGCCTGCAGCAGGGAGGGAGAGACCCCTCTCAGTGCCTGGCGGGAGGGCGCTTGCACAGGGCACCCCCCCCCCTTGCTGCCTGCAGAGCGGCCCTCACCGTCACCCAGGAAGAGGATGATGTTCTTGGCCACGTTGGTGTTGAGCCGCTGCAGCTGCAGGGCTCTCCGCAGCGTCTCCTGGGCCTGCCGTCTCCAGAACTGGGGGTTCTTCTCCTCTTCTAGAAGGGGGACGACAGAAGACTGAGAAAGCAGAGACCCCCCCCCTTCGTTCCCCCCCCCCCTTTGGTTTCACGAGAACACTCTGTGGGGACTCCTGGAGAGCGCGAAGGGCAGAGGCGCTGCTCTTTGTGAGCGCTTCTGCCGAGTCGTGCTCTCTCTCAGTCGGATCTGGCCCAGGACTGCCGGCGGCTCTCCAGGCTAGAGGAAGGGCTTTCCCCACCAGCACCCACCGGCTGTGGCCTGGCAACTGGAAGGTGCTACCAGGACGGAGCCTGGGAGGCAGATGCTCTGCCACGGAGCGACGGCCCCTCCCCCCAGCAAGGACGTCTGGGCCGAGGGTGGTCAGGTCCCCTCGTCGCTCTGGCAGTGGTGGGATTTGGGGGTGGGTGGGGACGCTCTGGTACTTGGGCAAAGCTCTGTGTTTTTTCACCCCCAAAGTTTGCCAAAATACCAGAGCATCCCCGCACGACGACCCCGACACAGTGATGTCATTGCATCAGGGACGCTGCACAACAACACGTCCCTGTTTAGGGGTGGAGTTTAGGAGGCCAGCTGGTCTGCAGCGAGAAGAGGTCCCTGAAATCAGGGAATCCCCCACCCGTGCCTGGGGCTGGCAAGCCTACGTCTGGATGACCTCCCGTGATGTCACAGCTACCCAGCCAATGACTGCAGCAGGAGCTGACGGGCCGTGACGCCCTCTGGCACCCACACTGGCGTGCTTCTAGCCTGTTTCTCCCACCAAGTTATGTGCTTGTCCAGAGTCACTTACCTGGTACCACGGAGGACAGACAAACGTCAGCCAGAACGGCAAAGAGCAGCACTTTCATAGTGACGATTCCAGGTGGGGGGGGGGGGGGGGGGGGGTGTTGAGCGAAGGCCACAGCAGGAGACAGCACAAGTCTGCCTCAGAAGACTTCCGGCCCTGGAAAAGAGAGCAACACACGTCAACTGCCTGCCCCACAACAGGGAAGACTCGCACCTGGCATTTTCGCTCCTGGCTTCAGTGATACACCTGGGCTGTGTGTAAAGCGGGGGGACCTGGGAAAGCAGTGCTTCAAGGCGCCAAAGTCCCAGTCCCCGGAGTCCTACAGAGCCTCCCCCTCAGCACCGGAGGTTTTCAGAGACAGGTTTTCAAGCAGACCAGAGCATTTCCTACCCGGCTTTAAAAGCGGAGAGTCTCGGGGCGACGGCTTTGGAGTTGGTCTTTTGATCGAGCAGCCCAGCCACCCTCCCGGCTTCTGTACAGGCAGCCCAGAGAGGACCTGCAGCTGTTCTCTGCTGTGCTGGAGGGTGGCCTGTGGCTTTGGGCTTCCTCTTGCCTCATCCAGGCACGACGGCATAGCAAGAGCAAGACCCCTCCTGCCGCCTGTCCGTGGCACGGCAGGGATGGGTTTGGAGTGGGGCTGCAGGGCAGCAGCCGGGCACAGGCACCTCTGGCCTGCCTGATCCGGAGGGCTTCCTCCTTCCCAAGGAGCCTCCTGGCCTCCTCCCAAAGCGGCCTCCTCTCTGAGAATAAGCCTCTCTGTGCCGGAGCTCATTCCCGCGGATTATTCCCACTGAGTGCAAGTGATACCAGAAAAGGTTCTTAGAGGCACACAGAGCTTTGGCAGGGGCCCAGGGAGCCAGGATCCCTGCCAAGTCCACCGGGCAGCTGGAGGAGGAAAGAAAGAGCCGAAGGAAGGATTTTCCCAGGCCAGCCGGGCCCATTCAGCGGGAGCCGTTGGCTCAAGCACCCTCTGCTGCCGAGGCATGCCCGGGCTGAGAAGCACCTGCCGCTGCAGCTGGCATGCAGGAAAAGGGGCTGCAGCCGTTGCCCGCCCCGCTCGGAAGGGAAGGGGCTGCCTGGGGGCCGAGCTGCAAGAGGGCCACAACCGCTGGGGCCGCCCAAACTCCCCGCAGCAGAAAGCAGGAGTGCTCTGGGGCCAGCGGGATTCCTGGAGAGGCAGGGCCATCTCAGGCATGGGGGGGGGTTTCAACAGTGGCTAGAAAACAACACGTGGTTTCGTGTGCTGGTGCTGCAGTTTGGGGGTTGCCGTTTACCTCCTTGACCCTACAGAACAAGAGAGGTGGGGGCCGAATCTACCTTTCTTTGGATCAGCTAGTGTTTAAAATGCAGAATGGAGCCTTTCCAGTCCTGAGAATGAATGCCAAAGTCTGAGTCCCACTTTGGCTGGGCAGACAGAAAGCTGCTTCTTTGATGTGTGCCAGTAAATTCAGTCTCTGAAACGAGAGAGAGAGAGAGAGTGGGGGGTGAGTGGGGGGCACTGTCTGCTTGCAGACAACAGACCTCAGGGAGAGCCAGCCGGGAGGGGGCTGCGTCTGCGTCTGAGAAGAGGCCCCGGCTACATCAGATGGCCACGGGCAGAGTCACAAAGGCGGTGGGTGGGGGGCATTTTCATGTGTAAACCGACCCTCTTGGACACTTGTTTGGAGGAGTGTTTCTCCCACCGCGCTTCCTGCATGGCCCTTCTAGAGACGCAGGTGCCTGGGAGGAAACCTTTGGGCCTCCGTGTCACGGTGCTGCAGAGTGCGAAGGGAGGTGGCGGTCAGGAAGTGGGGGTTGCACAAGAGCTTCCTCCTCCTCTGCACGCTCGGCGGAAGCGTCCCCCCAGGTCTGGGCCCGGCTCAAGGAGGTCTGTGCCATGCAGAGGGAAGTCTGGCCCGACACTGCCTGCACCAGCCAGAGGGCCAGGAGTCGGCAGGGGCACCCTCACCACAAAAGGGCGCCACAGTCCCCACTCCCTCTCTCTCGGCCCCTCCCTCCCTCCCTCCCTCACTCTTGGCATGAGCAGGGCGGCATTTTATGTCACTCCCCCCCCCCCCCCCCCCCGCACAGCGCAAGGCGGGGGTCCCCCGGCACCCCAGAAGGGGGGGGGGGGGGGCTCTCCGGAGGTCTCCTTTGCGTCAGGTCTGGCTGCTGCTCTTCAGCCTGGCCCACGTGAGCAAAACACCTTTCCCTTGGTCAACAAGGCACGTTTGAACCAGGGTGAAAAGTCTCATCAGCCTCGCTTGCAAGGATGGTCTCTTTTATCTTCACACCAACCCTGCAAAGTAGGCCAGGCGGTAAGACAGTGAGGTCCATGCCTGGGGCTACCACTTCCGCCACTCCTCAGTGAGTTCCAGAGAGCCAGTCTGCCTGGCCCCACATGCCTGGCCTGCCTCAGCCCGTCTTGGGGGCCATCCACTGCCCCTGTCTGCAAGGCGGGGGCTGTTCTCAGAAGACCCCTCATACGAATTGCTGCTCACCGGCTCTTGTGGCTCCACATTTAGCCGTGCCATTCCCCCCCCCCAGGCAAAACAGACAGGCACGCAATGTGGCAACCCCAGGCCCATCTGGGGGCGAGAGTCTGGCTTGTGCTTGTGGCACAAGAGCCTCTCCTCCCCCCAGCCCAGGCCAGACCCCACAAATGCCACCACCCAGCTGGAAGCACCTCCTCCGCAGCAGGCCCTGGGCAGACAGGCGGGGAGAAAAGCTAAGAGAGCCATCTCTCTCCTCAGCCCCTCCAAGGAAGCCCACCTCATCCACAGCCCTTCAGCCGCGCATTTGTCCGGCTAACACAAACCAATCGTCAAGGCGTCCGTGGGCTGTGACAGTTTGGGAAGACAAGCTCCCCAGGAGTTTCTACTGACAAATGTGCAGCCCCTTCACCGAGGGTGTGGGGAGGAGCCCGGAATGCAGAGCCCACTCGGGATGGTTCAGATGGGTCATGAGACTGGCTCCATCAGAACCCGGAAGATGGCAGCCGCCCTCCAGGAAACGCAGGCCCAGCGGCACTCATCCATGGCCCAAGGTGGAGAACTGGCCTACGTGGCACTTCCTTAAGCACGCCCAGGTGCTGCCCCAGGTTGGCGTCCCTGCCCAAGGAAGAGGGCTCCCTTCGTGGCCCAGGCTGTCCCCTCTGAGAGAAGCTCCCCACAAGCAAAAGCCGCCCCTCCTGCGCCGCTGGGAGGGAGCTGCGTGGACCTCCCCTGGCACCGGTGCCCCTTTGTGCGAGGCGGGTGTGGGGAAGATGCGCCCTCCAGCCATTGCATTCTTTGCCGGCCTTGGCACAGAAGGTCAGAGAAGAGGCTGAGCCGCCCCTTGGGGGGGGGGGGGTTAACGGGCTCTGCTCTCCTCTCTTCCAGAAGGAGGCCTCCCCAACTACTGGCTGTCAGAATGTTTTCTTTGACCCTGCCCTGGAGGGGAAGAGACAGACCCAACGTCACCGCTTGGGTTGAATTTGAACTCAGACCGCTCGGTCTCTCCAGGTCACTCGGTCTTCCCAACGCAGCAGCAGCTCCTCCAGCTTCCAGAGTTTCGGGAGGGAGGGGGGGTGCGGGTCCCAGGAGCAGAATCTGCCACGGAGAGGGCTGCCCGGCCCGGCGCTGGCATCCGACTGGGACCTGAGCGGGAGGGGGCAGGGCAGGGCAGGCAAGCGCCTCCTTCGAAGCGCCGCTCTCCCCTGCAGCAGGAGCAGCAGCAGCCACCGCCGCCGAGGAGCCGCGACAGGCCGCCCCCCATCTCCCCTGAGGCCCCTCCACCTGCCCGGCGAGCGGAGAGAGCGCCTGTCTCTGCCCGGCGAGGGCGCGCCTGACCCCAAGGCGCTCTGCACATGGCCAGGAGCCTCTGCACATGGCCCGGCCTTTGAAGCGGGGCTGCCTCCAGGCACCTGCGCCCCCCCCCCCGCGAAGAGATGGGCGGCGCGGCGCCCGAGGAAGCCAGAAGCCCCCTCCCGTCCCCGCGCCGCGAGAGTCCATCCCGGGGCTGCCGGCCCCCTCCCCGCCTCACCTTTCCCCGCGGAGCTGAGGCGCGCCTGTTGCCGCTGCGGCTGCTCCTGCTAGCCGGGCGCCGCTCTGTGCCTGCTGCGCGCAGCCAGACCGCCGGCGGGGCGCTTTAAGGGCGGCCGGCAGGGAGGGAGGGAGGGAGGGAGGAGGGGGCGTGTGCCCGCGGGAGGGGGGCCGCCCGGCGCCTGGCC